GGGAAGGTGCGGGAAGGTGCGGGAAGGTAAGGGAAGGGAAGGGAAGGGAAGGGAAGGGAAGGGAAGGGAAGGGAAGGGAAGGGGAAAAGGAATCCAGTCATCCAGTCTTTTTTATTTAATGAGGAAACAGGAGTGAATCCAGGAGCTGTGACACTGATGATACATCATCTATGGCACCAAAATCCTACATGAGGCGTATCATGGACATTTGGTGACACATGGTGAGTTAGAGAAGCAAGTTCTTCAGACGGATCAGGGTGGGACTCACTTGGTACCTAAGCACAGCAAAAGTGAGCTCAGTTTCTTCTGGAACCAATGAAAAAGCTCCCGTGACCTTCAGTGTGACTTTATTTGAGCCAAATATGAGTAACTTTCAAAACCTACCACTAAAGTCACCTGGCTACTTGTTTCTCCAAGCAAACAGCCACGACAGACACCTCGTGCCGTGTCTCCTGTGAAAGGTGAGTGCTGGAGGCAGGCAGCAAGACACAAAACAGATGAAGATGAATGCAGAATCTGTTCCTGAAGGGTACATGATGTTATACAAGCCCTGAACAGAGTTACTGAACCCTGGGTAGCTGATACTGGGAGCTCTGTGCAATGTCAATTCTGTATTTCTGAGTCCTGGGTGCACTGCTTCTGTGAAAGGGACAAATGCACAAGTCTCCTCACACACAGATTCTTGTCAAAAATACAAATGCTTGTACCACAGAATCACTAACTCATTAAGGCTGGAAAAAACTTCTAAGACCATCTAGTTCAACCATTATGATTCTTGGTTTGCAACTTTTTTTCCCTTTGGCGAGTTCCAGGCTAGGGAATAATCTTTCCTGGCCTTCCCAGACAGCTACAGAAATGGATTCTCTCAGGAGCCATGGAACATCACCAGCACTGTGTTACCACTCCCAGAAGAGATCCCCCACCTCCTCCACCATAATCAGTGCATGTTAAAAGTTATTCCAAAAGGCAGCAGAGGGCCTGGCGCACGTGCTCCCACAGAGGCAGAGGACGTGAGAGCAGATGAGGAGCGGCTGTTGGACCATCCCCTGAATTACAACGATGCTCTCAGCTCACTGGGTGAGGAGTACAAGGGCAGAGCCCAAACAGAAAGGAAAATCACCTGTCACAGTTTAATGAATGTGCTGGGAAAAGGCTAAAAATCGAGCTGACATCCCTGGCGCCTCATCGCAAAACATGCCATGGCAAATAAAAAATAATGATAAAACTGCAATAAATACTAAATAACAAGAAAGAGAAGAACAGAGCTAGGCTGAGACAGGGGAGAAAATGCCTTAATGATTCTCTTTAACACTTTAGCTTCTGTTCACGGAGCTCTAATCACCCGCTACAGATACATCAGCACTAAAAGTGTTCGTTTGCATTAGCAAAGTGTGGGGATGGTACAATTTACATCTCCTACTTGGCCACTAAGCTGCTCTAACTAAAACTGGCCCATTGTACCTTGCAATCTTTAATTACAGTCCACATTTTTCAAGAAGCTTTACTCTTTGCATCTCCTCTAGAATATTTAATCTGATGCCAGTGATTAATTTTCCACTCTACTTTTTTGAGAGGCAGAAGAACTTGACAGGATAACAGGATCCTCAAAAGGACAAGCTACAGTGGCTTAACTTACATTCCCCTTGCAGGATAAGGCTTTTTGCCTCTGAGATATAGACCAGAAGGATGTCTCAAGGCATGCAGAGCATCAAGGAAGACATGCAGAGTACAAATCCATGAAGTGCAAGAGACAAAACACAGGACAGGAAAGGCACCTTGCATGGTTACTGCAGAAACATATCTGGCCAGCAAGGAAAATGATGGTGAAATTATTTGCCAGATCAAAAACCCTTAAAGCTTTCTCAGCATGGCTGTATTTCAAATCTGAGGTCCAGAATGACATCTTTTGACCTCCTTCTCGGAACACCAAGTGGTCCTAAGGGCTCTGTACACACACAGCACTGCTGTCAGTGTCAGCACAAAGAGCCCTGTGGCAGAGCTGGCTCCTGAGCCTGAGGATGGGCCATCACTTTGGACTGGTGACAGTCACAGGGCACTGTGCTGTGAGGGTTTTTTGTTGTCCCCTATACTATAAGCAAGGCTGTGGTGCTTGGCTTGTCCTGCCATGGCTCTTTTCCATGCTGATATGTTTCTGTAGGGAGAGCCACTTCAAGAGCATTAGAGATCCTTGGCTTAGGTTAGAGCACATTCCTGCTTCACAAACTATGCCTAACCTGTGCTCATCAGGTCTTTTCTTTAATTTTTTTCCATCTTAACGACTCTGAAACTGGATGCTCAAACCTGCCCCCACACCTGACCCTTAGGTCTGCTTTCAGAAAAATTTCAGCTCCTCCATCTTCAGGAAGCAAACCCTGAGCCACGCTGAGTTTTTGCCAGCACTTTCTCCCTCTCTAAGCAATTTGACATTCAGCTGCAGCAAGGAGAGCAGCTCTTCATGCTGCTCAGGGGTCCTTCTGTGCTTTGTACATCAGCACATCTTACAGAGTGACATGGTGGATGAGCAATTTAAATGGAAAGGGATGCTGCCTCTTAAAAAGACAGTGAGCTGCTAAAAGGATGCAAGAAAAAGCTCTCACTGCAGCCAGGAAGAGATCTGCTGTAAGTCAAGTACTCTTCATTTTGATCATGGGTGGATGTTGTTCCCTATTCTTTAATCTTTTAAAAAATACCCACTTGGCTTTTTTTTTTTTAAATCCCAGTACATGGCTCTGACTTCATCTGTAAAACACAGATCTAGATGATGCCTGGATATTTTTTTTTCCCCTGAGTGCTTCTCCTAGCACTGAGAACATGCAAAATGCTAATGTAAAAGCTGTGCCACCATCAAGCAGTGCTCACTGCAGCACAGGCATGGGGAGGGGAGCTTTCCTAGGAGCAAAATTAGCAGCTTCAGAGGCACGTACTGCAAGATGCCAAGAGCAGAACAGCCAACAAAAAATCAGTAGGAAGAGCAGTAGCTATTTTCTCTTGTCTTTCCACTTTCACATTGCAATGCACGAGTGTAAATGCCCTGTGTGGTTACAGCACCTTCCTTTTCTTTACAGTTGTGTGTCTGCATTTGAAGACATTGCCAGGATGCCATCTCTGGGAAACAGTGGGGTGGCAGTGATGTGACCCTACTGGATTAATTTAGAAGAGGAGTGGCAGTCAATCAGCCTGTCTGCTGCTGATTAACTCAGCCTCAGCTTTCAACAGCCAAGAGGAAAGGTTAATTTTGCACTGTGGGCTGGAGTCAGGTTCTCTCCACTGAGA